ATTACTATTATGTGGGGGCGTTACAAACAATTTGACCCCCCAAAATATAGAATGTATATATTTTTCCCCAACTTTGTTTGGGATTTTGTTTTTCGTTGCATGTGTAAAATGTATTTGAATATTTGATGACTTTGATAAGTTTGATTCGTTGGGACAGTGACAAGCTGATAGACAAAGGTTCTCCCATTCTCGCATTCCCTTCGAAGATATGACATGAAAATTGTTAATGATATATGAGTTTCATTCTCCGATTTTCCCCGCAACTGGTATATCCATCTAATTGATTTCGTTGTGTGTCCAGTCTAGCATGTTACTTAGTCAACGGCAGCCTGACAGTTGGACAGTTTAGTTTGTAGGCCTCATCCCCTCTCGGACTTTGGGTTGTTCTCTCTGTGTGTTTATAAAGTCATTACCAGGAGGAGGCTTGAATTAGTGGATGGAGTTCAGAGTGCTATGGGTTCTGTTCCAACCTGCACATCATCATCATCATCATTGTCATCGTCATCGACAATCAGCGGCACTCAGCTACTCTAAACGCTTTTTACTTTAGCACTTGTTTTGTGTACAGAGGAACTTGATTAAGATGAACTTTGGAAGAAGATTTTTTGCATATCCTTAATGTTTATGAAATATATGTCCTATTTTAAATATAATGAAGTACAGACTTAGAGTAAATTCTTTAAGACAAGTTACTGTCTTGTAAATACATTTAAGTTGATTTTTAATTCGATAATTTATGTGCGATTCATCAATATTCTATTTTACTTATCAGTGTTAAAAAATATATAAAAGGGTTATCAACTTTTCACTGAAAAGTAAATTTTTGTTTATAAAGAGATTAGTTTAACATTATCAGCTACATTTTGTTGATATGTTTAATTATACTATTGCAGGGTATTACAATTTAAGTCAAAAGCCTTTATCGCAATAAAGGAATCATTTCCGACATAAATCATATATATTCTTGATCAGCATGAACAGCCGGGTCGATCTAGCTATCTCCGGCGTAGTTATGAATATTTTTAAGATTTAATTGGTCGAAAAACTGGTCACATAAAAATATCGATAAATATCAATTCAAAGCATGGTATTTCAATATTAGTCAGAAGCTTATTTCCGAACATATAATTCATATATATTATTGATCAGCATTAACAGTCGATCTAGCCATCTTAAGCAGAAACAATTTTTTCAACATTTTTTAAGGCTTCAATTTCTAAAATTTTAAATGGAGTAGGCTAATTTATTAACCTGCTAAAAACTAACTTAGGAAAGCTTTCCGATTTAAAATTATAGGGATTTTGGCTTAGTTATGATATTTCTAAGACTTTGATTTGTCGAACAAATTGTCATATTAAAAGTATAAATAAATACCACTTTAACGAATACGAATATTTTAAGCTTAAGTATGATTGATTTCCGATTCGATTATATAACTCGATTGCAAACTGAAAGGGTATATAAGCTTTGGCTTCCCAAAGTTAGTTTTATTTATTACTTATAAGATGCTTGAAATATAATCAGTACTTAAAGACAAATATATTTTTTTAATAACACTATTATTTCAAAGTTTAGTTCTAGTTAATTTATATTTTGAGTATGCCTTTTTATCAATTATAAGACATTTATTTTGTTATATATTTTATTATGATATATTTAGTCACCCCTTTTCCATGAATATTTATTCTTAGCAAATAAGAGTTGTTTATTTTCTATTTTCTTTTATATTTTCCACAATCAATATCGTTTTACCCTTTTCGAAACCACACTGTATTAATTCCCTCTATTGATTTTTATGCAATTTCATTTAATGACAAAACAGTGGCAAACAAAAAATGTTAATTTCTACAAATTTTCACCGTGGCGCCAAGCAAAAGGTGACAAGGGATTTGGTTGCACCTCTCCATGTCACGGCTGTCGTTCATAAAACGCACACACCACACACACCAGACACACACACACACACACTCTTTGTGGCACACGTGCCGCGGCAGTTGGGCGCACGTGCCCCGCCCATTTGGCCGCCCATCTACCGTTAGAGACATTTTGCCCGATCATGTTTGGGTTAATGAGTGGGGCGTGGCAGGGCGGCCCGTTGATTGCCGGTTCAACTTGCAACGTCTCGAGAGCGAGCATGTGGCAAGCTCTTGTTTTTTGGAAAGTCATTCTGGGGAATTTAAGTTCTTGAATTAAATAAAAAAATATATATTTTTTAAAAGGATTATAAAGAACAGAATTACAAGCAGATACAAAAGAATCTTGTACTGTATATTTAAATCTAATACTTAATATACTTCCTTTATGAACTTATTTCTTTAATAATTAACTTAACTGAACTCAAAACTTCAATTATTCCTAATTAAATACCCAAAGCAACCCCATTAAGTTGTAGTTACAGAACTCTAAAACCCATAATTCACTTTGAATAAAAATATGTTGTATTTTAATGGTTTCATTTTCAAATCGATTTCCCTTGGCCGGCATAAATCAATTCCGTGCACTTTGGGGTACAACCCACACCCACGCCCCTCCAATTAAGTGGCTCAAATATTTACAAACGCCCCTTTTGGCAGCCAGAATTTAAATATTTTGTCACTGTTTTGTTGGACAGACGACATTTAACCTTAGTCTGGTCCTCGTCAGACAACCGACTTCCCCATTTTTGTATATCAGAGAGATCCACAGCTGTGTCAGCATCATTTACATTCAAATTAAAAACGGAAAAACGACGAGGGAAAAACGCCAAATAGGAAAATTTATGCCAAGGGGAGCAGCGCCAGAGTTTCTCAATGATGAGTTTGTTACGAGGCGGCTCGCCTCTCTGTTTGTTTTGACACTTGAACTACATGGATCTGTGGCAGGGGTCTATAAATTAGCCCCTGACATTTGACATATGTATATAATATAATATAGTATAGGTTCCTGTAAAGATCACCGCCCGGCGATAGTCTAATGTTTTGTTTGTTTTTCTTGTGATTAGTTTGTAATTAACTTGGAAGTCAAAAGATCGTTCCTCAGAGATATCAGCAGGTATAATTTCCCTTTTTGGCAATTGGTAAAAGGTGCCAGATAGACAAATGCCGATAGCACCTTTTTTTTCAATGAGTTCACCATATAATTAGAGGAAGTGTATGGTTATATATATTCCCCTCCACAAGATGTTTATCCTCCAAGTTAATTTCTTTATAATTAGGCAAAGAGCTTAGACCCTTTTCCCTCTTCCTCCACCCTTGTATATATAGTTATCAAAAATATTTGACCAATCATTTCTGATTAGTTCGGGCCCTCAATCATGGAAATTTCCCAATTTTCATACGCTTATCCACACCAGAAAACTGAGATCCAAAAATCCGGCCCAATCATCCATCAAGACTCCACTTAAAAAAATCTATCCAAAAACTCCAATACTGTTGCTGACGTGTCAATCGAATTTTCTGAGTGGAGAGAAAATGAATTTCACTTTGAGTGACCATGGAAATGCATTCGTTAAACACTGTGTAGCTGTAGATGTAGCTGTATCTGAAGCTGTAGATGTAGAAGTATCTGTATCTGTATCTGCTTCGTTTGTATCTGTATCTAGCCCCCTTTTTCAAGGCATTTCAATTTGTTCTGCCAGCAAGGCGACACTTGCACCCAAGGAATTACGCCTATGTGGAACAGGATATGTGTGTTGGGTTGCTTCAAGGATTTGTTGCCTGAGAAATTGAAACAGGATTTCTGGCTACTTTGCATAGCTGTGAAGGGGTCTCTTATAATGTATAATTTATGGGATGTATTTCATTTTCTATTTTTTTTTATTGAACAAAAGTAGAGGGTAATTTGAGTCAAATGGAAACCAGAGATGAAAAGGGAAATTGTTAAAAAAAGAGGAGGCAGGAAATGCATTAAAGAAGTCTAAAAAATCAAGCATTAAAATGAAATAAATTTAATTATAACTCAAAGACTTCAAGTCAGTCTCTTAAAATCCCAATAATAAATCCTTGTAAAACTTTTGGTTCACATATTTTTATTCAATTTTGATTGGTTTTTATTTTGTTTTTATTTGTGTGTGTTGTTTTTTGTAATTTTTTTTTTTGTTCTCAATAATTTTCCTTGAAATATTTTTTTCGTTTTGTTTTTAGCTTTTCACATTGAATACATATTATAGTTTACTTTTCTTTAATTTATGCTAAATAAATCTTTTTGCTTTCGCCGGATAAATAGAACTAACTGAAGCGTCTATGAATTTATTGTTAATACTATGAATATATCATTAGATGTAATAGCATAACTAACGGTTAATGTTTACACTATATAGCTATATATAGTTTACAAATCGTGCTGAGTTTTTTTTGTATTTTCTTTAATATATATACTTTTGCTTATTTTCCTTTAGCTTTTGAGTGAATTTTGTTCTAACTTTACACTGAGATGAGTTTTTCGAACAACATTTTGAAACATTTGTACAATAAATTAAACTAAATTAAGCAAAGAAATTCTCTAAGGGGAAAAATGTGAGAAGAAAACTGTACAGCTTAAAAATAATTTAAAATTTTTACAACAAATAGAGAAAGGTGTTTTCTTGTTTTTAGTTTCTTTCTTTTTTTCTTTTATAAACAACAAATAATTTACAACATTTAAACAAAGTTTTCATTATTTTTCTTTTAGTTAACTGCAGACACTGAGGCAAAAAGTGGTGAAAATCCGGAGAAGGGAATATTTATGAGAGTTTTCTAGATAGTTTTGGGTTTAAGTTTTTCAGAAAATAACAAAAATTTTAATGCAATGCGAGAAAATTTGTTACAAACCAAAATTTAGAGATGAAAAAATAAATTTTAACAGTTTTTGTTACTTTTAAAAATTAAACAAAATGTTAAAATACATTTTAAAATGAAAACATTTCTTGTTTCACTTTTTTTGCTATATTTTTCAGGACTTTTTTTTATAATTTTCTGATTTAAGCACCACTTTTTGCCTCAGTGTTTTTAGTATTTTTTTTTTTAATACTGCTCTTGGCAAGAAATTGAGGGGGCGGGGGCGGCTATCACCTAATGGGCGGGGCTACGCGAAGGTGTCACCGCCGGCGGTGAACCGGCAGCGGAGGAGGGCGGCCCCTGACCGCCGGGCAATTGATAGGGACTAAATCTTTGATACTGACGCGGTCGCATATCCGGCGACGGTGATCCCGACGAGGTGGACGATGGCGTCGATGCGGTGGGCGGGGGCGGTGGCGTCCTGTTGGCGGCCATTGCTGCAGCAGCGGCGGCCGCTTGCGCCTGCGCCTGAGCTTGGGCGGCGGCCTGAGCGGCGGCTGCCTGCTGATTGGCGCTGGCCAGGAATCCCGCCGTCAATTGTGGCCACTGTTGCTGGAACATGTGAAAGGCTCCCAGTCCGGGGGGTGGGGGAGGTGGTCCCGCTGCTGCTGCTGCCGCTTGATACATTTGTGGCATCATCAACTGGGCATACGGAGAGTTGCCACCAAACATTTGCAAATGCTGGCGGGCCTTCTCGAACAGTGCCATGGAGGCGGGGTCACCCTGCTGGGCGGCAAATTGTTGCATCAGCGGATCGGGGAATAATCGCAGAGGGGAACGGAGCTGCTGCTCCAACAGGAGAGCCTCCATGGGATCCCTATCGAAGTCCGTTAGCCGCGAGGAATCACGGAAACCCTTGGCAAACGGATTCGAATCGATTTTCAGCTTGGTAATCAACTGATTCTGATATGCGGTTACTGCGGTGAAAACCGTCTCCGGAAAGACATAGGTTTTATGATCCAAATCCTGCAGCTCCTTGGGATTCGAGGGAATGCTCTGGCCATGGCTTAAACGAACCAAATGAATGCGGGGCTGATAGCGATGCATCGAATTCAAAACAATCTGGAAAGGAGTCAGGAAAAAGAAGAAGGTTTCATTGTAGTATTTCTATTAGAGTTAAAAAATCTCTGGCTTAAAGTTGAGTAAGCAAAATGATTGATTTAGGCTTTAATTTAGTAAGCAAACACTTGAATATTTTCTTACTCAAATTAAACCTTTAGCAACTTAGTTTCGTGATATTTATGCATTCGCATTACAAAATTATCAATCATTTAGCACTCGCTGCTGCTAATCGCTACCTCAGCATCTCACAGAATGTCTGCGAGTATCTCAGATAACCAATGTATCTTTTGTATCTTTTCCCGCAACTCACCTGTCCATTCTTATCCATTTCGTTATTAGTCAGCTTCACCTTCTCAAAGGAGATAACTTGTTTGCGCAGCGCCTCGCAACTGAAGGGACTATCGGGATGGGCGTAAAGGCGGGCTGGTGGGGCGGGATCGGCCTTGCCGGCCACCAGCCAAGCGGACCGATGGTATGCATACCGATACCGCTTCGAATCCATGGGTATTATGTCCAGCAAAACGGCATAACGATCGGCGGGCTGAATTTGCCTCAAAGGACCCGAGAAACTCACTCGCACAGTGGGGAACATGCGTCTGGAAAAAGGGAAGATAGAAAAGAATTTTATTAGATTTTTTGTCAGGTTTTTTGGGGGCCACACACACCCTTTAGTATGGAATTTATTAAGCATAAAAGGGGAAAGAATTTTCTGCTTTTCTTTTGCTTTGACAAGTGCAGACAATGAAAACAAAAAGTATTCTTTAAAGAAATTAACAGACTTGTCTAGCTCTAAATAATTAATCTTTAAAAGGCTTCTTCTATAATCATTTTAATACCAATTTTGTTAAAGGATTTAGAAAAGATACAAAGCAATCCCTGGGATACTACCTTCTTTCACATTCATACACTTTTAGGTTAGTTGCCACACACAGCTACTTAAATCTAGAATTTATAACTTTGCCTTTCCTGAATATTTTTTCTTCCCCCCATTTCCCCTTTTGCTGTGACAAGTGCACACAATGAAAACAAAAGCAAAACTCCTTCCTACCTTTAAAAGAGCTCAACCATCTCTGTATCCTGTGGTTTAATGTCCCTCCAAAGCCAGTGACATAACCCCAGGACTAAAAGGGCGAGAGAATTTCGTTACGGGGACCGCCCTGATGTCTGCGACTCTGAGGTGTGATTTTTACAATATCATTAAGGTGTGTGCTCTGTACCTCTCTCTATGCGTGTGTGTGGTCAGGGTGTACTATATGTGTGTGTTTGTGGGAGCTAAAAGGTGTGGACAACCCGTGGTGATTGGGATTTGAACTTGTTCCCATTCTACCCGCTGACAACAGCAACGCCCATAACTCTGATTTTCCTCAAACATTTTTCTTTGACATTTTTGGTGCAACAGCAGGTATAGGAAGAATCATAGAAAAAGACCCCACAAGCGGTTCCCTGAGATGGCATGAAATTATTGTTGACATTGCAAACCATTTTGGCGTTTGCCAATTTATGGTGTTTGTCGTGGTAAAAAGGAAATCTTTTAAAGGTCTAAACACAACCAAGGGAAGTTGACATTTTATAAATAAAAGAATTTGCAAGAAAAGTGATGAGCAAATGATATAAGGGAAACTCTAAAGAAGTCGTTGGGAAGGTTCTTTAAGAAAGGAAACCCTTTTAAGACATGTGAAATGCTGGAATGTAGAATTTCCTGCTATAGATTTGTTTGAAATTAGATTTGATATTATTTATATAATCTAAAACTTGTTAAATACATAATTTTAGCAAACATTTCCCCCACCAAAACTCTCCCACGTTGTTTCATTCGTTTAAACTAATGCCTGTTTGCACTGACTGACTGAGTGAATGATTGACTGATGGATGGTTTCTACGTTATCTCATTGCTTAGATAATTTCAAATCTCTTTTCATTGCGGATGCTTACCTGCCCGTTTTGGTGATGATCATCTCGGTGCCCAATTCGTGAAAGCGATCCCACAACTCTTTGGTCTCCAGATGGCATTGCACCGGCTTCAATTCATCGCAATTACAGGAGCCAACTATTTTTGGTGCCTTTTGCACTGGTTCCGGTGTTAAACGCTCCTCACTATCCTCCGTTCCAGGGGATTGGGGTGGTGTAGAGCAACGTCCTTGGCTGCTGGCGGAGCTGGTGTTTAGTTGCGATTCCGAGGGTACTGTGGATGCTGTCAGAGTCACGGCGCCGGCGCTGTTTCTACTCTTGTGTGTCACATTGTTGTTGTTGTTGTTGTTACTGTGATTGTGATTGTTGTTGTTGTTGTGGTGACTGTGACTGTGATTGTGATGGTGATGCTGATGATGGTTCAAACGGCGAGCCTTTGCTGGCGGCTCTTCAGCATCACTGCAATCAACTACATCCACATCGACCTCATCCTCAACGGAAATGGGACCTTAAATGACAAAGAAAGCAAAGCGAAAATTGAAAATTAAATCGGGTAAAATTGTAGGTGTTTTAGTATTGAAGAGGAAAAGTAGCTAAAAATGAAAAAAATTTAATGAAAAGAGCTTTAAAAACAAAGGAAATTGGAGTTTAATCTTGATTTAAAACTTATAGAACCATTTAAGGCCAAGAAAAGGATTTAAATATATAGCAAACATATTACTGATTTGCTTTTAACTAAAGTTAAGGGAATATATATTATATATTTTATTTTCACACTTTAGTTTCCCTTTTTATTAACTTTTAAACCACATTTGAAACCCTTTAGATCCTCTTTCTGCCCTTCTATTTCACAATATTTTCTTGGCTTGTTTTCCACTATCTTTGCAACATTTTCTTTGATATTTTCTTAGCCACTTTTCCACTTTATTTTGGGCATAATGTAAGGCCATTTAACTGCCGCTGGTGACAACATTGAACTGTGACTGAGGCTTCGCGGCAGACAGCTTGGAGTCGTCTCATATTCTTGGAGTTTCCGCTTCGCTTCGCGTTACAATGAGACAATGAGACAATGTGACGGCTACTCGGGCTTAATTGGCAAACTGAAACACAAATTGGCAATTAAACAAACCCCGAAACTCTAGCTGCGATTGCTCTTTTTTTCCAGCGGTGTTTTTCGCGCTGCATAAAAAACTGGACAGCGGGAGAGATAATGTACTGGCTTTCAAGGTGTATTTGCTTGATGAATAATTTTTAAATTTTTTATGGTTTAGCCCTAGGCGAAATTTAAAGCCCTCTTCTGTTTTACAAAAACACCAAATGATTAGCTGAACCAATAAGCCCGAATTTAAAGCGGAGCCCCAGACGTTGGTAGGTGTTAAAATGCAAACTAAGCAAACGGAAAACGGAAAACGACCAAAAAATCACGAAAGTAAACAAAAAAAATATATATAAATATATACAAGATATATAAATATAATAAGCTGCATATTTATTTTTTTGATAAAAGATTTGGTTAGTTGTTGTTTCTTTTTCTGACTCTGTTTTGATTGCGGCCGTCGCTAATTTTCTGCGCCTCGTAAAATTAATAAAATGAAGCAGCACATTGTTGAAAATTAATTAACATAATTAGTAGCTTTTGTTTGAAGTTAGTTTCCCCTCCCCCCTCCTCTCTTGCGACGGAAATGCTGTGCACAATTTGCATATTATCAGCCATAAATGAGCGCAAAGTGTATCTATCTATCTTTCAGATACAGCTTGTATCTCTGTGTATATTTATCGGCAGCGATCTTTGGCTTGGCTTAATTGCGGATACCGTCGGCTCTGGCAAATTGTTGCAAGTGTCGCAGCATTTTTTTTCTTTATTAACTTCATGGAATAAACAAGTTATCTCTAATTGTCAATGGCAATTACATCGATTTCTGCGCACCCAAGCCAACAATATTTATTTATTTAATAGATTTGTTGTGCAATCAATTAGCAATTGTCATTCATTGAGCTTAAATGCGGATTGAAAGTGTGGGTTTTCTACATTTTAAGGCTTGGAATCTCAGAAAAAAGGCTTTTGATTATTGATTTAATGGGAAATAAAATAATAAACTAAGTAACGAAGGCTTGCATTTGTATCTTATTGCCTTGAAAGACATTTTAAACATTTTCGAACTTGTTTTTGTTGGTCAAAGGTAGGATAAAAACAGTAAAAGTTACTATCAGAGAGCTTTCTATAATATTTATATGTTTTAAGTCTTAAAATGAACACTTTGTCGAAAGAACTTCCTTTTTAAAAACACATTTTAAGATTTAAAAGGAAAATACTTAAGGAAACACTAGTTTGGATAGGTAATTTATTCATTTAATTTATCCAAAGATACTCTTTGAAACTGAATTTCTATTGTAATATTTATTTATTATGCTAAATCCAGCCATTTTAATTATAAAACTTAATTCAAAACACCTATAACATCAAAACAACTTTATATTTGACAAGTTCAGTAAAGACTTCCAAAGTTTAGGAACTTAAGAACCCATTTTTGAACTGTTTATCAAGTTAATTGAAGTATCTTTTATAATTATAAATGTTGTAATTTATACATATTCACTTAGCAAAGTTAGGACTCAATATTCTTTTAATTTCGAGGGTTTAAAACCCCAAAATTTCTCTTGAACCTTCGATTGAAAGTATTTTCCAAACACTTTAGTAAAGAAACTCCCTCAAATCTTATGTTCCTTAAACCCTAGCTTGATTTTCCACGTCTTTTCCTATTTTATAATAATTTCCATATAATGTATCTTCAACTTACTTGCACTGCGAATGGATGACTCCCGACTGGATGCATCTTCTCTGGCCATTATGGCCGCTATGGAGAAATCCGTTGCTGAGCCGGCGGCACTTTTGCTGCCCGTCGTTGTTGTTGTTGTCGTTTGTGCTGTGTCAGCGGCCACGGGGGCAGCGGGGGCGCCATTGCACAGATACGGATGCGAACCGACCAACATTTTGCCAGCGGTTTTCTCGAGTTCTTCGGATATTTATCTTCCTTTAATTTAATTTGGTTTATATATTTTGGTATTGTCAACACACTTGGGGGCACTCAGGAAAATAGCTGCATTTTCACAATTTAAACACTTGTGTATCTCTATCTTGGCTACTAAATATCTTTCAAGGAGGCTGAGTATCTCACAGATATATTTGTATCTTTGTATCTCAGTATCTTTGTGTGTGTGGCGCACGCGAACTGAACTGAGCGCGGAGGGAGAGAGCGTGTGTGTGCACAACGGTTGGCAGGCGACGGCTAACTGAATTGTGTCAGGAACGTGTTGCCGCTGAGAAGCCCAAAAAAGACGGCAGCGGCGGAGGACGGCACGAAGGCAGGCAAAAACTCGGGAAACCAGTTTTTCCTTACCCTCTGCAACAGTGCAAGCGAGATGACACTATTGCTTGCGGTGTATCTGTATCTGCAGTTGCTTTGCATGGGTGAGTGCAAGCAGGATAGCACGAGGTACTGTGTGTGTCGAGTGGAAAGTCATCGGAGTGAGCGCTCTCTCGATTTCCAATTGGAAATGCAGCGGGGGAGTGTGCGCGCAACAGAGACAGAGCTTGTCAGCGCGTCATAACTCATTTACAATTAAAAATGTCGGCGCTTTGCCGGCTCTCTCGCTCTCTCTCATTCTCTCTCTCTCTCTCTCTCTGTCTGTGGCAAATCATCTGGCCAGCCTGCTCTCACCCTGTATCTGCTCGCCCGCTCTGGCGCATTTATGAAGTGCCAACGTTTCGCTTGCGGTTTTTCTTCATTTCTTTTACACTCTATGTTGTTGTTGTTTTTCTTTTTTTTCTGGTTTTCTTTACAGACAACTTTTCGCCGTTGTCGTCGCATTCCCATTTCCTGTTATCTCCTCTCTGTCTCTCTGCCCTTGTAATGTTGCCTCCCCGCCTCTCCTTTTTTTCTGAGTGTGTTTCACTTGGTTTCCAACACGTTCCAACGAGGCTTAAGGTTTTTGAGTGAGTTTATTTTCGACTCGGTTTTATTGTTGGGTTGATTTTGTTGTGCAGTTGCATCCTTGCTGTTTTATCCTTGTTTTTTTTTCTTGCCATTTTCCCCATTTATTTATTTGCAAGGACATGGACCTTGAGTCAAGGTTACAACGTTGCAATCCCATGCGTGAAGAATTTATTACAGTTTTAGGATGTGGGGAGTTTATTTTCATTTAGATTTACTTAAATTTGGAATTTATTATTTAAATAATTTGATGTGGGGAGTTTATTTTCATTTAAAATTACTTAAATTTGGGAAAAATATCTAGCAGAAAAATAAGAAAGTAACTTTTACTAGTATTTTTTTATGCAAATAAATGATAATTGTTATTATTTCTCATGTATTTTGTATATAACATAGAACAGATATGAAGAAAAACATGGAATTCCTTAAAAAATAATTTTTAGAAACGATTATTAACTCAAAATGTATGAAATTAATCTATTAAAAAGTTTTAAGGTCATATATAATTGTTTTTAAATTTAAATTATGTATTGAAAATATATTATTTAAATGAAGCTTACTTCACTTACTTTAAATAGTGCATTTTTGATACATTTTAAAATAAAAATGTAATAAAAGAATATATAGTAAATATATATAAGTATAGACTGATTATATAATTTTATACAATATTTCTTAGATGTTTTATAAAAGTATTTATCTATTATAAAAGAATATTTCACCCTTATAAAAGTTATATGGTAACTAATAAAGGTATACATTTAACATATGACTCTTCCATTTCATTCAAATTAAAAGATAAATAATTGAATTTTAACAAAAAGAAGGAAATAAAATACAGATTTTTTTTTTTTTTAATATATTTATATTTTCTATAATATATTCATATTTATTAAATATATATATATGAACCCATATAAACAACTCAAAATCAAATCAACCCTTTACCTTTTTACCCTAACTTAACCATATTTCTTACCTCTTTCTAACCACAACCAATAGTTATGGCGATCAACCACCGAATAACTTAAACTCCCTGCAGTGGAACCATTAAAAAAACAAATAACTGGAATTACAACGCCCCATCAATACAATCATATTGCCATAATTACGCATATTTTGAAATTACCATATTGTGACAAGGCTAAACCTCCCCGGAATATTTACAGATGTCAACAAATCGTTGAATTTCCCAGGCCCAAGTCAAGACCTTTGTCAGTGCCAATTAACCTGAGACGCCAAAAGTTGAGTTGCTAATAAAAAGCAAAAGAAAATGCCTTTTTGGAAAATTTACCAACTGACAGACAGTTCGTCAAATTCATTACGCCAATTTGAAACGGCAAGAATCCGACGAGATCCTTACTAACTAATCCCAGAGAAAATCCTGTGTCGTGATGTGTGATTTTAGTAATTTGAGACTTTTCTTTTACAAAGTGGGCATGTCACTTGTGACACTTTCACCCGGGGAAATGCGTCTTGTGTGTTCCTCCCCATCCCTCCATATGTGTGTGAGTGTGTGTGAAAAGAGAGTGTGTATGTTGTTTTAGGTGGCAGTCGCGTATGTCACCAAAATGTCAAAAGGCCAACGGAGGAAACACACAAGTTGGGAAAACAAAAAAGGGAAAGCCGGCCACTTGGCACTTGTAAAAATAAACAATTTTGCTTGTTAATTAGTGCGGCTAACTGTCCTCGTTTGACTTTCTCCTTGTTTTGTGCTGAACATCAAGTACTTGGGATAAGTACATGGCCCTTGGCTTTGTCGGTAAAAATTACACTAAATATAAGAGGTTTTTTTTCCATATATTTTCCTTATTTTGTAGCTGTCCTGTTGCGTTCTTTAACGATCTCTTTGGGTAATCGAACACTTTCACTTTGATTTTGGCCGCAAGGAGACTTGAGGAATTATCTTTGGTCAACGAGGAGAAAGAAAAAAGGGACATATTTCCGCTATAATTTATCAAGGAAGAATGAGTACTTGAATTGTAGGGATTTTCCTATTTATTTCCCTAGATTTTCTTTACAAAATGTAATGGTTTAGCTTAATATTTTTAATAAACAAAAAGTTTATAGAAATGGAAAAAGAAAACATAGAAGTTTAGGAAAAACATTATTACCTTAAAGTTATATCTACGCGATTATATATTTTTATTCAACAAACTCTGTTTTTAAATTACTTAATATACACATTTTCTAAATAGTTTTTAATTTCTTTGAAATATATAACTAACTTATATACAGAAATATCATATATAATTACCCATTTTTGTAGTGCCAAGATTAATGATGACTAATAAGAGATAGGTAATGTTTTGAGCTGTATTGAATTTCCATTTTCTCGGTGGAATTGTTTTATTTTTCACTTTGCTCTCTTGACTTTTCCCTTTTCCCGGTTTCCCTTTTGTCTGCGGCATTTCCGCTTCTTAAGTTCACTTTGTTGGGGCTTCGGCTTTAAAGGGTTCTCTATCAAGAGGGTTTCAAGTGGGAGGCACGTGTTCATATTATATGTTTTTATTCTTATTTCGTTTTTTATACAAAATTTCATTTTTTTCGGGGGGTGAAAGACGAGGAAGCAGCGGTGAGTTTCCGCTTGGCACTTGCTTCAATTTTCCAAACTGCTTGATAAGCATTAAAAGCGGAAGCAAGCCAAGCACTAAAGAGTTTCTATTTATAAAGCAACATGTGTAGGAAATTCTATACCATTCAGATTACATAAATTTTATATACAAAAAAACACACAAATAATTCCTAATCTTTTAAGCATTTTAACATCTTAAAATCTTAAATATAAAGCAAAGTCTTTGCGTTCCTCAAAATCATGTTAAGAATTTCCCGCTTTTCGGTGCCGCTTTGTCTGGCCAGGACATTTGCCAATCATCTTGCATTTCCCTCATGTCCTGTGGCCCAGGATCTTTTGTTGCCTGTGCCTTCCCGCAAATATTTACCAAATATTTTCCATTATTTTCAGTTGTACGCCCACAAAAATATATGTACATATATATATTTCGGGGAGGTGGCAACCGGTTTTCAGACTGTTTTGTTCTGGAATTTATTAATGAAACTCATTGGGTTGGGTTTTTGCTTTCTGGGCTTTGCCCTGGGGACTTGGTTTTGGTTATTTTTATTTTCGGTTCTCCTTGTGTTTTGGGTGCATCTTCAAAAACCCAAAGCCGACGCTTTGATAAATGCCCGCACTGGCTACCGGGCTCAGATATTTTCTTCCCCTCCTGCTTTTCCTTTTTGGCCCGGTAGCAATTCCGCTAAAAAGTTGGCCTCTCTTTTTCATGTAATTTGTTTACTGAATACAAAATATAAAATACCAAAAAGAGGAAACAGAAACCACAGAGAGTTGGTGTGGAAAATAAGGGAGTTGCGAATGGACCGCAAGGAATTGTTGCAAATTTTCTGGGAATTCCTTTTCTGCATTTGCCATAAATCTTTGCTCTGTTTTTGGTGTGTGTTTGTTGAATTTGTTTACACTTAGAAAATAGGAATAAGCCTAGAAAATTCGAATTAATTTTGTATTTTAATGCTTGAATAAAATATGTATTCATCTATATCTCTATATCATTTTTCAAAAACGAAATGGTTTATTTTGAAGACAGCAAATGATTTAAGAGGTATAAAGTTAGGCTACAAAGCTAGAAAATAGTACTAAGCCTTATTTAATGTTAAGTTTTATTCTCTTAAATAGAACTTGTATTCAAAATCACTTTATTTTCCATGATTAATTTTCTCCCAGTGCATCTGTGTGCAACAATTGTCACACCTTTCGGCGGCCACTCAGCAGCCTTCCCTTCCTCCTTCTGGGCTTATCCTTGGCCCAACCACAGCCTCCGTGTGTGTGTATTATATATCTTATATACATTATACATATATGTGTGTAATTTGACTCATTAACAATCCGAATCCGAGCCTCAAAATCTCTCTGTCTGTGGAGTTTCTGAAGGGTTTTCGGCCCTTTCTATGCCACATAAATCACAACTTAAACGATGCGTAATTTTGTTAAATAACTTGAAGCACCCTCTTGTCCCCTTTTCCTTTTGTTTTATTTATTTGTTTTCCCCCTTTATTTTTTTATTTTTTGGGTTAGTGATCGAAAAAAAATGTATGTCATTGTCGGGCAACGCCTGGTTCTTTTTTGTTTTTTATGTTTTTCATTTTCCTCGCTGCAATTGGAGCTTAATCTTCACTAACCGCCCAGTGCCACGCCCATTTTGTGCACCTTAACACTAAATTTACATAGCCAGTTGGAAGGGGATCTTTATCTCAGAGTCCTTGGC